GTTACACTTTCTTATATAAAATAAAACAAAGCAAAGAACAAGTGTCTTATCATTTATTATACTACATAACATTATACATCAGTAGTTGTCCGCAACAGACAATGTTGATCTGCCGTGATACAAGTCCTTGTGCAGATTGAAAGTATGCCATCATCTCCTGTTCCGTTGTTGTCTCCTTTTTGTAGTTTTAAATAATAATTTCATGATTTGATATTTATTTGTTGCCGTCGCGGCTATAATGCTTCTCCGACGAGCCGCTTCTTCTTCGTCTTTTGCCGTGGTACTGCGGGTTACACCAGCAACATGCCCGTGGACACTGCTGACTAGCGGTTTGCATGTGTACTGCACATTGACGCGGACAACGACGCAGAAGTATAAATGAAAACTGACACATAGCCTACGGCGTAAAGGCTACGGTGTAGGTCCGACGCAGATGTATAAATCATTTTGAACAGTCAATAGCAAATACTTAAACTAATAACAAAACATACTTACAGTCACTGATTCAGAAGCGCCAGATTGTCATAGCAAAGCCGGAATTTACCTTTTTTTTTCTTAGAAATAGCCTTTGTGCACAGCCAGCCTTGTACTCTTCTAGGTTCAAAAAACTGTCGTCCATAAAATGCGTTGCACAAATTCGAACATCTGGGTTGTGCTGTTCTGTTGTAAATAAATCTTAACCAATGATTCCTAAATGCATCTACTTCCGGAAGGCCAAATAAAGCACTTTTGCTTTCCACTGAAACACACAGCGTCTCCCTGACATGCTGCTTCAACACTAACTGCGGTTACTGAAACCACGCCTTCTTTCTTTGCGTGCACATTTGGGCGGCATTATGCTAATATTTCCACATAGTGACGTAGACATGTGGGGCGTGTTAGAACGAGCCGTTTTAGGGGGGCGTGGCTGGCTCTTAACTTTTAACTTTTATAAAGAATATCTCTTTGGATTTGAGACTTTAGTCTTTGCAACTTTACAGATCTTCTTTATGCACCAAGAGCTTGTAACACTCCAAAGAGAAAGGAAAAATTGAAATCGCATCATATGACCCCTTTAAAATATTAACACCTATAATAGCATATCAATGACTAAAATAACATTGATCTGCACAAAGCACAATATCTGAACTCTGATCATCATAACACATGCTGCAATAACTATTTCAGTTTTATCAGCTCATACTGAGGAAATGTTTGTACTTTCATACTTATTAAGAAGTCACAGCACTCTAATATAAATATACAGTTTAGCTAAGATACACACCAGCATCCGTGTGTCTGTGTGTGTGTGTGTGTGTGTCTCTTTCAGAAGGTCCGAGTCTGCGCTCAGTTTCTTCTGGCCGTAATCATGGACTTCAAGAGTAAGCAGAAGAAGAAGGTTCTTGTGGTGAGTGGACTCTTTTCAGCTCATTATTGGTGAATCAATCTCATAAATCCTCCAATAAGATCCTACTGGATCCAGTGAAATTCATATTTTTGAGTTTATTATTTCAGTAGTTCCTGTAGGATCTTATTGACTCCAGTTTGATGGTGGAGGGACTGATTTCATGAGTGTTTCTGTAGGATCATCTGCGTTCAGTCTGTGGAGGATCAGAGAGATTTCATGAGCTCTAGATGAATAATAATAATGTCACATCACATCCACAGTTACAGTAATGGAGTGGAGTGGGTTTGGTTAATGAGTGAGAGAGACTTCCATTCATCAAAACCACACACACACACACCAGGAGCAGACAGGCTGTAATTGTTTAAAAATCTGATTTAAAACGTATATAGATATGAAATACATTTCTACTGTATATGCACTGTTGAGAACTATTTTACAAACACTGATGAAAGACAATATTCATATTTTTAAAAAAATGTTTTTGCGAATATAGTCAAAGCTTAAATGGTACGACACACAGTAGGATTTTTAGAAAGGAAACTTTAAAAAGAGAGAGAGAGAAAAAAAGAAGAACTAGGGAGAATATATAAGTGATGGATAATTTGCTGCCATTGTGTGAATAATATGTAATATTGTAATCCATAAAGTAATTGAAATCTGATTATGAGCAGTTTAAAATGTGATATAATCTTATTACAAGTGCTTCATTTTTGGAATCTGATTACGTAATTCAGATTATATGTAATCAATTACCCAGCCCTGGTAATAGACAAATAAAATACAAAGTCTAAACCTTTTACTGAGCAATTTCATTTTTATGGAGCTATGAACGTGACGTCTGAGCTTTAATTTTGAATATCTTCAGTATAAGTGCTAAGTATAAATATTTTGTGTGCATTACAGTCAGGTTTTAGGCCTTTAAGTTCCACTGAGACTTGTATATTACATATGACTGACTGAATAAGGAAAGCTGTTGACAGTGGCAGATTTTGTGGGATGGTTATGTTGGACCTTCAGAAAGGTTTATATTTATGAAAATATGTTGTAAAATTAGGTTTTTAGCAAGGCTGAGGCAAAGCCGACTTATTGGATGTTTATTCCTTAAAATTGTTGACAGGGGCCTTGATTCAACCCCATTGTTATTATGCTACCTCCTTTTGGTATAGTAGTTGTTCCCCAGGTATGAAAGATAAATTGCAAAAGGCTCAAATAATTTTAAAAGTTCATCCACAATGCATAAAACGGTAAAAAAAAAAAAAAAATGCTGTTTGGTGATGCTAGTTTAAACTGAGGGTGTAAATTGGTTTCTAGCATGTTTTAAAATTAGTATTTGGTTAGGAGTTAGTGTTTTTCTTTCTTCTGCACTTCTGTCCATCGCAGTCGTGACCTAATGGTTAGAGAGTTGGACTTGTAACCCAAAGGTCGTGGGTTCGAGTCTCAGGTCTGGCAGGGATTGTAGGTGGGAGGAGTGAATAACCAGTGCTCTTCCCCATAAAACATGGAAACACAACATGTGTGTGTGTGTGTGTGTGTGTGTGTGTGTGTTTTATCCTCTACAGTTTTTTAAAGTGTATGGGATACTTGTTATTTATTTTGTATAGCTTGTATAGCTTGTAAACTTGTCAAATAAATTTTAATTCAATTCAAAGTTTGAATATTTTGAAGTAAGATTTTAAGTGTGACACAATTTTAAGTTTAAATATTTTAAGTTTGAAGCAGTTTTAAGTGTAAAGATTTTAAGTTTAAAGATTTTAAGTGTGACGCAGTTTTAAGTTTAAAGATTTTAAGTTTGAAGATTGAAGTTTGAAGATTTTAATTTTGAAGCAGTTTTAAGTTTAAAGATTGTACGTTTGACAGTTTTAAGTTTAAAGTTTTTAAGTTTAAAGATTTAAAGTTTAAAGATTTTAAGTTTGATGCCGTTTGAATTTTAAAGATTTTAAGTTTGAAGATTTTAATTTTGAAGCAGTTTTAAGTTTAAAGATTGTACGTTTGATAGTTTTAAGTTTAAAGTTTTTAAGTTTACATTTGTAAAGTTTCAAGATTTTAAGTTTGATGCAGTTTTAAGTTTAAAGATGTTAAGTTTGATGCAGTTTTAAAAAGCTTGAAGTCTTAAGATTTTAAGGCCATTCAGTCTCTCAGATAGATAGGCAGATTGTTATGTGGTTGCTAGGGTATTCTGGATGGTTTCTAGGGTGTTGTTATAGTGTTGCTATGCCATTGCCAGATATTAAACATGATATTTTGCCTATAGAAAATGATATTGTTAGAACCATTTTTTGCATTAGGACATTGTTTTGTAGTGAAATAATGATGTGGACATTCACCTGTCCACTGACTGTGTGTGTGTGTGTGTGTGTGTGTGTCAGACGTGTCGGCATCCTGCAGGAATCGTTGCTATGAGCCGTTGGATGTGGATTCAGCCTCGTGTCGTTGTGATAGTCAGTGTGTGGAGACTCACAGCTGCTGCTTTGACTACCAGGACATCTGTCTGCTGCCTAGTGAGTGACCTTAATGTGTGCTATCTGAACATCTGTGTCCACAGGTACAAGTCTGTGCCTTACAGGAACCAAATGAGTTTAACAAATATTTAACTAATGGTTAGACTTAGTTATGATATTACACTGCCTTGATGTTTTCTAAATGAAGTTAGTTGATGAATTATTCACTCTATACAAGCATCTGTTAATGTCAAAATATAATTATATTCAACCAGCCTGTCCCATTCCAGAATATTAATTTTATTCCTTTTCAGGTTGAATTGCTGATGTTTGCTGTGACTTTTTTTTGTTTGATTGCTTGATTGATTTATTGCAACATTTTTATCAATTTAAGGGCAATTATGAAAAAAAAAATGTTATTTTAAGTTTTACCATTATAATTACAATCATTTTTACAGTGTATGTCTGATATTTGTAATAGTTTCCTTTAGCTGTACTCACTGTACACTACACAGTGAAAAACTGTAATAGATCTAAAATTTACAGTTTTTGGAAGTAAAAAAAAAACTAAACTGACATTCCCAGAAATGTGACAGCTCACTTTTGATGGTTTTTCATTGAAATGTTTCTTAGTTTCTCTGTATATTAGGGTTTTCTGTTCCATCTAATGTTGTGAAATGAATGTATATTGCATTACTTTAGTGTTATGTGTGTTACTTATGATGATGGTGATTTGCGTTTGTGTGTGTATGTCACTGTTTGCACCTTCAGTATTTTAGTATCAGCTTGTGGAAAAGCTATTTCTATTGATCAATCATGTGTCTTTCGCTTTATCACATGTGTTTTATGCTGGTTGTCAATATATTATAAAGGCACTAGACAAATTTGACAAATTTGGTATATTAACGATATTTAAGTTAATGAAATACACACTTTTTTTTTACTGTAAATTTAAGTTCAGTCTGTAAAGCTTACCAAATTTTGTAAGGTAATGTTCTGGAAACCACAGCTGCTGAATATGACCTTAATTTCAGGGATTTTTAACAAATCAAATATTAACACAAACATGACAATATCAGTATTATTATAAGAATGTGAAATAAATCAGTTGAGCTGTTGTGTGTGTAGCTCAGAGCTGGGAGTGCACGGCGCTGCGCTGTGGAGAGAGACGGCTGTCTGGCAGCAGGTGTCACTGTTCTGAGGACTGTATGAACGCTGGAGACTGCTGCTCCAACTACAACAGCATCTGTGAGGGTGAGTTCAGCCGCTGTGCTTTAGACTGATACACACACAAACACACACACTCACACACACTCACACACACACACACACACACACTCACACACACTCACTCACACACATACACACAGACACACACAGGCACACATACTGTTCAAACACTTCACTCAGAACTTCACTCAGAACTACACAGACAGCGAATGAGTTTGTAGATTATTTGAGTACATGTTTTACAAGAAAATACTATTTCAGTTTTTCTACTTCAAAAGAAAATCATGTTTAATTCAATGTATTGCTTGTTATTTCTTTGTAATTGTGAAATTTGCTAGCAATTCCTGAGTGAAAAATATTTCTAAGTAAATTTCAGAGAACAGTTTATGAAATCGAACAATGCCTCCAGTATCTTTTGTGCAGTTCAGTAGTCAGAGCGACAAATGCATTGAAGTCCAAATATCTCATGTTTTTATCTTCCAATATTCCTCTGTGTGTGTGTGTGTGTGTGTGTGTGTGTGTGTGTGTGTGCGCGCGTGTGTGTGTGT